CACTTATTTCAGTGCCATTATTAGTTTTTTGAAGAAAAAATGAAGTTTGAGGAAAATTGCTTACTTTCCCAAACAGATGTATTACAATGCAGAGTTTGGGAAAACTTTTCCGATTCAAGTGTTTGACACTTTTCGCCTTTGCTTTTGATCCGTAGGTTTTCACTTTACATTAGTAACTTTTGAGCCAATGGCCTGAATTTCTGAAAAAGAAAGTTCACACAAAAATTGTTTTGTAAGATATGAGATCAACTAGTTCCATCTTTCTGTATATCAAAGATTACCTACCTTGCCCCGTTTTCCAGCTTCATTTGCACACTTCCTTTTTTATGAATTTCGCTTATTCATAGTTTCCTGTACTTTTGGCACATTTACGTTGCTTAATGGCTTTTTGTAGTCTATACTTCTAAAGCATAGCGGAGTTTTGTATTCCAGGTTTCTGTTTAGCAGTTGGTGAATTACACTGCAAACAGGTGACTTATAGCAGTGAAGCCGTTTTAAAGTTCTTCAGTGTTCAATAATTTCTCAATTTGTTGAACCATATTCTAATGGAAACCTTGTACTCATCCGAGAGAAAAATAAATTAGTGATTTTTTTAATACCTCCTTTTAAATGTGCAACTATTGTATTTGCTGTTTTCTCGCTTCTTGTGATATGTTTTTCTTCTTAGTTTACTAGCGAAATTTCTGGCCAGCCGCTAGCGTAATTTTCCTCCTTAACTTTTCATTACTTTAGTGCCGTTCCAGATTTTCTTGGTACTTTGTTTGACTGCATTTCTGGTAAAACATACCTTATCTCGCCCAACAAAACTTCAACTGTATTTTCTCCGTACCATTCAAATCCTTCTACTTCCAGAAATTTTTTTCAGTTTACTGGTTTTCTACAGAGTTACTTGCTCACTTACTCTGCATCTCATGTATTATGTACCTCCTTTTGTTGTTCTTTTATTAGTAACGTGACTACTAATTTGAGGAAAGCAATTGTTCTTTTAAACTTCTTCTTAGGTTCTAACCTTGCTCCGTCCTTTCAGCATCTTATTAGCACCTCATTACCTCTTACAGCAAGCTGCATTTGACTTTGTTTTTCCTACCTTCTTCTACCCTTTTTTTATCTTCTACAATTACTCCATATTGCTTCTAGAGACCTTCCTATCCTTAAGATGCGGGATATCTAACTCCCTGATATTTCGCTTCAAATAATTTATCAGTTCTTCTTTTCTTCTTGTTGAAGGTCATGATACTCAGCCTCATCAACCCGTAACAGCTATCGGTGTTGGAAGTTTAAACTGCTCTCACGTTCAGCATTATCCTCCTGCCGTCTAGAACGTGACAGTCGGTTTCATCTACTGCTGCTGAGTTAGAAGTTCTCCTTGTTTATTTTTTATTTGCTTTTTCGTAAAATAAATGTGCACCGCATTGAGCTGCATTGTTTCATCAAATTTAAGCTGTTGTTTTCTTCTTTCATTCCTTCTTCCATTCTTTAGCCTAATGACGCATTTTTCATCACAGTTCACTTTTGCTAGCCTCACTTGTGAAAGTTCCATTATTATTGTGTATGTCAAATCCTTCTTAAAATCCTTCTACAGACTTCTTAAAGTCTTCCGCTTTTCCATCGTATAGTACTGAATGAGGGTATACCTGGATTACACGTGTTATCTTGTTACTAAACTGTATTTCCAAAAATAGCGCAAAGCTTTCATAATGAAAAAAGCTCACGTTGTTTCTATCAAGGAACAGCTCACATGCGGGTGAAACCAGTGGGTTGGATAATTGGTTTTCCTTTCATTGCAGATTATACGATTTCAATTGTGTAAGAGTCATACAGAACTGTGTGGTATACTGCTACTTTACACATGATAGTAGCTATTTAACTTTTTACTCAAAAGCACTAAGGAAAGCTTCTGGGTTCGTATGGAATCCTCGCAATTATAAATAGTTGCTAAAGAGTACAGTTCCTAGAACGATAACGACTGTTTAGAAAGATGACAAAGTTGGGATAGAAAAGAAATATAGTGTAAAAATGTAGAGCAACCTTAGAGCAACCTCATGCAGGAAAAACTTAGACAACAAATCTGAGAAGAGACCTATTTTTTATTGAGTTATTAGCAAAAAAACATCGCGATTTTCATTCATATATGTCACTAACACATCCCATTAATTTTTTAAATAAAGGCCATCACATTATGTATTGGACAGTAAGACCTTGACGGTGCAGGATAATTGCTTACAAAATTTCTTATTACGGACTGAACAGAGAAAAAACCAAGAGGGTTATTAGATTATTACAGAACACCAACAATTGAAACTTGTTGCTAAAAAACTACACTTTCTGGAACAAAGAAGAACATTTAAAAAGATAAAATCATTAAAAAGAAATAAAACGTTAAAGGATTTAGAAGTAAAATGTAGAAAGAAAAAACAAAAAAAAAAAACTCAAAACTGATTTTTTTTTTTTTGAAGTATCAACAAATGAACTTTTCACCGCTCTTCTTTCGTGCATATTTCAAAAACAATCTGTTAACTTCCTAAATAGAGCTCGCCACTCCATGGATTTTGACAGTAAAGCTGTGAAACTTTTCTAGTATCTTTTCATTATCATTATTTCTAACAATTTTATCTCTGAAGCAATCCTTTTCACATCAAAAACTGAACTTTTTGGTGGCTGATTCCAATTGCAAGCGTTAAACACTAACCAAAAGTTCTTCTTAAAGCTGCTAGTTAAGAACGAAAAAAGCTTCACCATCATTTCGTACGTATCAGTTGTCCCTTTAAAACTGTGGTTTAATCATAAATATTGCCGCCGCTACAGCTGAAATGGGACGATAGGCAAGCCGAGGGAAATCGACTGTTCAACTGACTAACGATGCGCGGCCGGTCAAAGAACTCGTCATAAGAAAAGCTTATTTTCCCGTAGGAGGCCAAGCGATCATCGCTCTTGTAAAAATTCTGCATCTTCAAAGCTGAAAGTTGATTTTCTCTACTTGTGTCACTTTTAAAAGGTCAATTTTCAAAACCAACTCTCAGCGTATGCAACCCATGTTTTATGTTGGAGCACGTCTTGCTGTTAAAAAACTATTTGTCTGAAATGTTCATTCCGGATCAAGCCTCCTTTCACTGAACCGCTGTATGAATGAGCTATCCGACTGCATGAATTTAGTTGGGGATAAGATAGGCATTCTCGCGAGATCAATAGCTTCAGTGGCTCTCATACTTCATCAAATTAAAAATATAAGATAATTTCCGGAGGAAAAAGCACTGGCCAGTTTCGGAGTGAAAGTGAACTTCTGAGTAATCCTTCAGTAGTAATTAATGAGGCCATTACGTCACTCGCAATATGAAAGCCTCTGACGCTACTGGACGCGCAAGAGTGTCCGACTCCCACCCTCAAACGAAGCTAGCATAGATAGATAGTTCATGCTTAGGGTGTTCGTGTTCTGATGATCAATAATTTAACGAAGTACGAACACTCTACAAGCGAAAAATTCTTAGGAACTACTCTCAGCCGAAACATAGATTTGCACAAGGAACTGTTGAATAACACAAAAGCAGTTAACTCTTTTTAATCAGATTAACACACTGGAGAGCTCATTCCTCAAGTATCTCATCGGTCACAAGGTCATTTCAACGTGAACATGGTGAAAACGCTACGAAATCACACCATGTTATGAAAATATCAAACTTTCCCTTCTGAGTGGTTTTTTCGCTCGGTGTAAATCCCTTTCAAGCGTAAGGTTCTCCATAGTGAGGCATTATCCAACAAGGACAGGAAACTGACGAGAGTAAACCACGGTACTCGTTCACCAAAAAGTTCTTCTTTCTTAGAAAGCAGTGAGAGAGAGGAAAAGTCGGACTTTAGCTAGCAAAATTAGATTGTCCCAAAAACGCATCTTTAAGTGAGCAGGGTTTTCAGCAGTAAGTTGGGAATGAAAAGCCCGTTTTTTCCTCCTTCATACTTCCTCATTTCAAGTCTAAAACTCGTTGAACCAGTCCGTGATATGTCAGTCGCATAGAAGCATTTTTTTGAACGATGGTAGAAAACCAGCATTATATGAGTACGAAGTTGTATTTCTTTATAACATATTAACCCAAGAAGAGTTTTCAGCTCTAGAGGGTTCAAGCAATTAGAAAGGATTTCAATGGAAGCACTTATACAAGTGGTGGAGTTGTTTGACACTTTTATTAATACCCAGACTAAAAACAATACAAACTCTTTCTACTATAAAAGTATGTAAGGACTCCAGAGAAGCAAAAATTTCAGAGATTAACATCAGTGCTGTAGAAAAGAAATTAAAACTTTATGGATGTCGTATTGTATTACACCCTTAGAGGTACTTAGATAAACAATAGCAAATTCACAAAACAAAGAATATCGAAAGTAACAACAACAATGAACTGTAACGCCCAAAGAGACCCCTTTAAAATCTGCCCAGGCACTTACGCTCAGCAGCTGAGCAAAAAAATCTCGAACTTTTGGTTGTAAACGAAAACAGAAATAATGTCATTTTTTTTACCCATAACTTTAACTAACCAGTTACAAATTACGGAGTCATTGATTCGAATGAGAATATCTTTGCCTTCTTCTAAACTTTATCCTCAACCTGGAAAAACTTAATAAAACGTAAACTTCAACATGCGGTAAAAAGATCGTCATAGAAGGAAAAAAATCAGATATTCTGTTCGAGAAAAAAAATTTAGAACTTTTGTACACTGATCGTCCCAACCCGCTGACTGGCTAACTAGTTCTTGGCGGGAAGGCTGGAGGAAAGAAAAGCAACAAAGAGAGGACAGTAATATACATGCACTTCCACTCCCTGCTTGATGTTTCTTAAATGAGCCAGCCTACTTTTACAAGATAGCTCACTATTTCCAAAAGTTTCTTACCACACCACCATTCCCCATGCTGACCTCTTGCGTGTCTAATTGCTGTCTATAAGTCCTCAGTTGGGAACAGCTGGACTCTACTACTAGTTGGGACTGTCAAGTCCCTGCTCAAGGATGACACAGTCAAAATGTCTCCTTGACTGCCAACAGGCGGCGACGTCAAGAGTGGCTTCGGAGGCTACTCCTCCAAATATATCTGCAGGGACGTCAAGGTGCAAAAGCTCCAAAATTTATTCAGTGCAAGGAACCGTAAAGTATTATTCTTGAAGGCATAA